GGGGGTGGCTGGAGCGAACTGAGTGACAGGGCTCCTGGGTCCCTGGGAAGGATGAGTGGCTGGGCATCAAAAGGAAGAGCTGAGGGGAGGGTCAGCAGGTGGTAAGGTGGTTAGGCAGCTGGATCCCACATGCCCAACTGCTCAGTTCCAGCCTGGACCAGCAGTCTAGAAAACACAGGGAACATGTGGGTGGGTGCCCAAAATCCCCAGAGGGGAAGGGAGAGGGGACTGCAGGGTGGCCATCCCCCAGAGGGGATGCTTTCTCACTTTCTCTCTCTCTAGTCAGTGCACCCGCCCTAGAGCAAAAGTTTTTCAAAGGCAGAATGGGGACTGCAGGGCTCCTGGGAACCTGGGTAAGGCTGGGGAGGGGGGTCCTTGCAAGGTCAGGAGACAGGGCCCTAGGGAGCTGGAAGAGACCTTCACTCACCCACGCTGGGTCCGGGTCCAGGGCTCAGCAGCAGCAGCAGCAGCAGCAGCGCTAATACCAGGCACAGGGACAGCAAGGCCACCGGGCGGAAGCAGGTGTGAGACGTCTGGGGGGCAAGCGCGGTCACCAAGATGAGCCGACCCATGTCCCCCTTACCCTGCGCGGGCACCCAACCTCTCCCGCCCGGCCAGGCAGCCATGCCCCGCCTGCCCCACTCACCTTCCCCAGCGGCAAGGCGGAGCCAGGTAGTGGCTGCATCTGGGGACTCCGGGTTGTCTGTGCGTCTTGGTCAACAATGGCACTGGGCCGGGAGCGGGAGCCAGGCCCAAGGCTACTTCTGAAGAGTAAATGAGCAGGGAGTGCCCTGCCTCGAGGGTGTCAATGCAGGCCCCTCCCTGCGCTCACCTGGGCATCAGAAAGGAGCCAAAAAGGGAGGGAGTGCTGGGTTTACCTAAAAATGTTCCCATGTAGGAAATCCTGCGCACGTGTTAGCCCTTGAAATCACTCTCCACAGTCTCACCAGCACGGCGAGAAACAGACAGCCGAAGATTTGCCCAAGCGAGGTTGGTAAGGCTAGGGGTTGGGAGGGGGAGGGCAGAGGCCGCAGCCCTGTCCTAGCAAGGCGGCATCCCACTCCCCTCCTGGCTGCTTCTCATCTGCCCAGGAACTGCAACACGTCCCCTCCAGGGGGACTGGCCAGGGGCACACAAAAGGTGCTCAGTGTGGCAAAGAGGACGATTGTAGTGCTCTCTGTTCCCTTTCTGTCCCGGTGCTGCCACACTGGCCACCAACTTCTGCTAATTTCACCTCATAACCACTTTCGAGAGTGGAACCCCATCCCCTCCTCCTATGCCCAATGGCCAAACTCTAGTAAAGGTGATGAGGGGAAGGCCACAGCCCAGCTACCATGGCACTGCCAGTCCCAGGTGTTAGCCCACCATAGCTCAGACCCCCGGCATTCCCTGTCACAGCAAAACACCAAGGACCAGAGAAGGGGGGATCGAAGCTCCCTGCCGCCTGTGAGACCCGAGGCTCCGGTCCCTTTGTGGCCGCACCCCAGGACAACCGTCTCCCCATTTGACTGGGAGCTCCTAAGGCCAAGTCTGGGTCTCGTCCCCTCCTGTGCCTGGCGCACATGAGGTGCTCAGCAAAGGCCTTCCCAGCAGAACATGCGTCTCGGATGCCCTGAGAATCGGGGCTGCAGGGGATGTGCTGACCTCACTGTGCTGTGTCCATCAGAAAACAGGTCTAATTCAGAACTGGCCAGCAAGCAGGGGCTCCCCTGGCCCCGGCCTGCCTGCCTGGGGCAGAACTTCGCAGATGGCCAGCTATGGTAGCTCGGTATTGGTCTTGACACTGAAGCCTGAGGAGGAGAGAGGGAAGCCCATTTGATAGATGAGAAAATCAAGCTCAGAGTGGGGACAGAGCAAGAAAGCAGGAAGTGCAAAGAAGACAGAGCTAACCATGAAGCATTATCCAATTCTTCACACGTTCATCACGGGCCCCCGGCAAGGACTGGCCACATCCTCAGGGCCAGCCCTGCGCTGGGGCACAGCAGGGGATCAGGCCCAGTTCCTCAAGGAGCTCATGATGGGCTAGAGGGGCAGGCATGAAGTGCCGAGACACACATGTCCAGGGCAGGGACAGAAGGAGGCACAGGGCCATGAGTGGGCAGGGTGGGGGCTCATGCTCTTAGCCTGGGTCCTCCCCTCCCCCCCACTCCTGACAGTAGGATCTGGGCCCAGGACTTTCCAGCAGGTGGATTATTTGGGGAAAGCATATCCAGGGAGCTGAGTGAAGGACCAGGAGGGTGAAAGAGAGAACAGCTAGAACAAAGGCATGATATCGTGATGACCACCTTGGATGGTCTCATGCCAATTGATTCTCCACCTAGAAATCATAACCGTCTGCCCAAGGGACAAAAGGGAGCAGCACTGATCCCCAGGTTCCCGTCTCCCATTGGTTGGGAGCAGGGCAGGAATTGAGGGACCTGGGACTCTTGTCACAGCCTGTGTGGACTGTTAACCAGAGCCACGGCTGGAATCCGAGCTGCAGCAGAGAGGATGTGAGGCAGGGGACAGAAACTGCCCTGGCCCTCCACCTGCCGGGTCAGCAGTGAGATCAGAAATGACTCTCCAGACTCGAGACGCAGCGGAACTTTCCAAAATAGACTGAGAATGGGGAGGGAGCATGCTAGGCAGAGGGACTTGCAGAGGCAGAGGCCAAGAGGCCTGGAAGAGCCTGGGGTAAGATGGGATTCCTGGAAAGCTGGCAGATGCAGGGCAGTAGTAATAGAGGGCACAGGGCACCCCCTTGTGGACAGTCTTGGCATGACGAGCCAATCAGGAAGTAAGGGACATTTTCTTCAGTCTTGGGTCAGAGGGACAAACACGTTTTCTTTTCTTTTCTTTTTTAAAATTATTTACTTATTTATTCATTCGTTTATTTTATGTTGGCCACAGAGAGACACAGAGAGAGAGAGAGAGGGAAAGTGAGAAAGCAAACCACCAGGTCCAGGACTCGAACCGTGGTTAGCCATGTGAGAGTGCCCAGTACCATAACCACCATGTTATCTGCTGGTCCCAGGAACATGTTTTCTGACAGTAAAGTTTGTAAAACCACCAATGAGTTATGGACAGAGAGATGGAAGTTAGGGCATAAATGTTGGTAGGAAAAGCAAAAACAAAAAAAAAAGAAAGAAAGAAAAGAAAAGAAAAAAAAGAAAAAGAAAATCAGAAGAAAGCAAAGACTTCCTGGTGACTCAGCTAGCTTGTGTGATCAGTCACTATATTTGCTGACCCTCCTCTTGAGAAGATTAGATCTACTCACCCAATCAGGAACGTGGGAATTGGGTTCATGCTTTGACCAATGAAATGTACAAGAGAGAGCCTGTGTCACTATTTTTAGCAGAAACTTTTGCAGCCAGCAAGTGGCTGGACATGTTCCTTTCTCTCTGACACAGGATTATCGATGTTCCCGATGCAGACTAATTAGCCTGCTGTGCACATGTGTGCTCCCCAGAGCCTGCCTGGGCTGGGTGTTGTTGGGGAGCAGGTGTTTCAGTGAGGGAAGGCCACTGTCAGGGCCTGGGCCACTGTAGGACCTCCTCACTGGCCTCCCATGGCCACTGGTGGCCCTTTGTCCATTGCCCACTATCAGAAACTGGCCACCCCACGGGGAAACAAAGC